ATTCCAATTAAAATATTTATAAAAATATCAATACAAATAAAAAAAAGTACCTCTGGTTAGTTATTAACACGTTTTCTCTAGGAGACTCAAACCAAACCAAGCAACAACATTCACATTTTGTCATCTTGGATTCTGTCAAAAAATAAATTGTTTTTACAAAAAAAAAAAAAAACAATTTGCGTCTGTCCTCCCAAAAAAAAACCAATAGTAATAGGATAATTAATTAACGGCGTACGCGTCGATCAAATCACAAACTTTTTTTTTTGTAAAAATGTCTACCGATTCTAAAACAAAAAGAAAAAGAAATCAATCAAACGCAATTGCTGAGGAAAATGAGTAAGTGTTTATCATGAGTGGTGGTGGTGGTCGCCACTCATTATCACCCTAGTTATAATAATAATAATAATAATAATAGTGTAAAATAGTAAATTATAAATCACGGGAAACTGATATATAAGTCGGAAATGATTTACGAAGTTACCAGTCACAGGACATGTCACGCAGATCAATAGGGAGTTGTAAAACATACGTAGCAATTCTTTAAAACAAATAATAGATAGATTGGAATATACAAATGAAGGTGAAGATATTTAAATCATCCAAAAATTCATATTTTTCCATATAAATACATTTTGGACACTTTCCACCTTGATGATAACTTTTATCATTATTGATTTTTTGTTTTTGAACCATTTTGGATTTACTATGTTCATATAAAATCAATTTATTGCAATGTTTTTGACATCAACATGGGGTTTTATATTTAAATTTTCAATATTAGGACTTTTATTAATCTTTAAGATTGTTTGTGTGGTAATCCTTCGATATTTAATGTTAGGATCTTGATTACCACATACTACGCAGGGGCCAAAATTTTTTCATATATAACCTTTATTCATTTTATTAAATACAATGTATATAAGAACATTAATGTTATTAATTAATAAACGCGAGTTTGAAATGTAGATCATTGATTAATTTGTATGTTACGAGTGTAATAAAATGAAATTTAGAGTAAACCTTATTCAAAACCCAGCAGGGATCAGGAAAAGTTATTAAGGGATCTGAAATAAATGATAATAATAGAATGCTTATACAGAATTTGAAGTGGTGTTATTTAATGTGGGCAGTGCCTCCTTTCTAAATGGCACTTTTTTGATTTTACAATACTCTTTACATATAAACTGTCAATCTTTTTTGAAATATCTATCATAAAGTCTGGAAAGATAGCACCCCCTACTTTAAAACAATTGAGCGTCAATATAAAAAAATGTTACACATATGTAAAAGGGGATGCTATCTTTCCAGACTTTATGGTATTAATGTGCGTGACACATATTTGACCAATCATAGGATCATGTGTATGACAATCATTTGCCTTTTTTAGATATCAACAAACCACAAAAACAACATTGGAGTAAAAAAAATTTTCTTTGTAATATATTATGATCTCTTGAAATTCCTGGGTATGATTTACATTGACTATTTCTTGACCAAACAACCTATTTGATTCTGAGTGTAATAACTTACTATTTGAAATTACAACAAAACTCAAGGATTCTTGATGATTTCTCTCTTCTCAATCACAACCAAAGTGACCACTTTTTGACAAAATATATTCAAGTAAATGTATATCAGATAAAGAATGATCAATTATAACATTTATGTATATGAGATTTGAGAATTTTATAAATATTAATAAAAGTGTAATACAATTTTTTGTGTAAATGACAATTGGCCTACATGTAGATCAAATCACGTTATTTATGAGATGATGTGTGACAATAATAAATTTCAATTGACAAAAATAAAGTGAAATAATCACACGAAATTACAAGGATACATCATAAAGAAAAATGCTGTATTTATTTTTAAATCGATAGACTATTCATTCAAAAACAAAATTTTCGGAAGTATCTATTATTAAAAGAACATTTTTTTGGTTTGAATTTTCGTATTAGAAACAATCTAAGCAAGCACCGATTATAAATTAATCGCGAAAACACGTTTCTAAATATTTGTTCAGATAAAATAAAAAAATTTTTTTACCAAAACCTATTGCTACATATTAATATGGTATAAATTTAACTCCTATCCTTTTTTTTATATAAAATTAAACAAATAAGGGCGCTGACATATATTATATAGCTAATATTTTAGTATAGGGTTTCTATTCGAATAAGGTTTATTCGAATTATTCACTTTATTCGTTATGAATTTGAGTATTCGGATTATATTGAAAGTTTATTCGAATAAATTTTAATTCGAATAAGAAAATTGATTCGAATAAGGAAATTAATATTAATTTGAATAAGGCAAATAATTCGAAAATATTAATTCGGATAAAACAAATAATTAAGGTCCAGTTTAAATTCAAGCTCACTGGAAAGATTGCTATTTATTAAAAGAAACATGAATCTTGTTTCAGTCTTTCCTTATTAGTTTAATTTTTAATTTCAATTTTTATAATAATAAAATCAATATTAAACCTTGTTGTGCATATAGTTTGAATATTTAAGTAATTGAACAACCCATGATTCCAAATAATCTAATAAAACGAATGATTCCGATAATTAATAAAACAAATAAAACAAATAATTTGAATAAAGTGAATTAAATTTTAATTCGAATAAACTTTTAAATTCGAATAAACTTTTTAATATTAATATTAATATTAATATTAATTCGAATTAAAGGTGAATTATTACGAATAGAAGCCCTAGGGGGTAACAGAAAATCTTAGGTCACATAGGATCAATTTTGATAAATTGACTCCTGCATCACCTGTCTTGATTTTTGGAGATTTAAGAGTGCTTCCATTAATTTTAAGGAAATCTGACGAGTCTTTAACAGGAATATCCTATATACAAAAAAAGCACTTTTTCAAATTTTGATTAAAAATAGATTTGATGTTTCCTAAATCACCCGATTACCCGATTACAAATCAAGACTTTAGATATTTAAACGTTGCTGGCAAAAATAAAGAATCAACAGTCGCATAATCAATTATTAAGTTTTAATATTTAACACATATATATGTTACGAAATTTTCATAAATATGCTGCATTTTAATTTGATGTTGTGCTTTAATTAGTTAAGGTCAACTTTGTCCGTTTCTCAAATTTATAAAGGTTCCGAAAAACAGCATCGAATCTGATGATAAATCATTATCCAATCACCGCATTTTCCTAATCAAACTAAGTTGTTGTAAAAGACAAGGATTTCTTGTTAAGAAAGAACATCGAATTCAAGTTTGAATTATTGAAGAAATCACCATTAACAACAGATCTTGGATATTTTGGTGCTTTTTAACAGAATGAATGGATACTTCCATAAAGTTGGAATATTAATATCAAGACATTGTTTATTTAATAGAACGTAAAGGTGTAATGTTTTATAATCATATTAAAAGCGTTTGAATATTTCGCGTAACATTCAAATGGTATAATTTATTAATAATAACAGGAATAACAAAAAATTAAATCTATATATGTATGAAATTACTAACAATATCATTAAAATAACACGTTGTTATTTATTTATATATCATTAATTTTTAAAACCTCTTCTATTGATTTTCTTTGAACTTTGCTTGATAATTTAAGTTGCAAGATTTCACCAATCTCGTTACAAGATTTTAATATTTCATCTAAATCTTGTTTAGTATGAGCAGCTGAAATGCAAAATCTAGCTCTAGAGGAGATCATTGGTGTGGCAGGATATGCAACAACGACTACAGCAATGTTTCGCTTTAGACATTCTCTTGAGAAGGCAGGTATTTTAGCAGGGTTGAATAGCAGTAATGGGATGATTGGTGAGTCAGTATCACCATAAATGATGAAACCCATTCTTCTCAAATTTGTGCTCAAATATCTAGCATTGAATGCCAATCTTTCCAATCTTATCTTGCCTTCTCCACTTTTTGCATCGTCTTCACCCATAATGATTGACATTGAAGTGTAGATTTGTTGTAGTATTGGTGGCGTCATTGATTCAGCATAGACTGATGCATGGTTCCACAATCGAAGAGCATCAATAGTCTCTTTTGATGATGCAACGTATCCACCAGCAGCACCAAATGATTTTGTAAATGTTCCCATCAAAATGTCAACCTCATCAGGATCTATACCATAATAATCACACACACCTCTACCTCTTGGACCTAGTGCGCCTATACTATGTGCCTCATCAACATACAAATAAAACTATACATCATAATAATGATATTCCGATTAATAATTTGATTTTCCCAAATAAAATGTAAAAAAAAATTTTCTTACTTTATATTTTCTTTTTAATTCAATGATTTTTGGCAGATTACATATACTACCTTCCATGGAATAAAGACCTTCAACAACCAATAAAATTTTTTTCCAAGGTCGATGGGTTCTTGGTTGCCCTTGACTAATACATTCCTTCAATAAATTTTCCAGATCTTCCATGCTATTATGTTTGAAAACTCTGATGAAAGCACCAGATAGACGACTACCAAACACAATTGAACTATGGTTAAGTTCATCAGATATGATTAGACAACCTTTTGAAGCCAAAGCAGGAAAAGTGGTGCTATTAGTAGCATAACCCATTGAAACAACCATAGCAGCAGGCTTACCAACAAATCTGGCAATCAGTAATTCCACTTGTAAATGAAGATCCAATGTACCAACTTCAATTCTTGAGCTACAAGATGAAATACCATATTTTCTAACTGTCTGTTCAACAGCATCAGCGCATGGACCTTCATTCTGAGCAAATTCCAAATAATTATAACTACTTAGATTTAAACAATCTCTGGTTTTACCAGTCAATTGAAAATTTTTACAGTAATCTTTGGTCCCTCATTCAAGCAATGTAATTTTTCTACCAGGTACACCAGTGACAGGACAATTAAAACAATCATTGATTTGCAATTTTAATCTTATATAGAAATTATCAAAATCTGAATTCAAAGGTGCATAACCCTATTAATTGAATTTTGGAGTAAAGAAATTTAGAAAAATAAATAAAATAATAATTTATTATAACACACATTTTGTTCTTTTAAATGTCTATAATCTTTTTTTTTAAACCTTTTTCCAAAAAAATCACAAACATGCCCAAACAAATAAGTATTAAATATGATAAATAAGTAGTGAACAAGTAATAATATGGTGGTTCTTCTTCTTCCCAACCTGGGTCATTGTCTCACCTTTGTGATATATATCTTTGTTTATTATTGTTATTATCATCACTATTATCATTATTATAATTATAATTATTATTGATTAGAACCAATTTTGATACTATTGTTTTAGCATTTGTCATTATTATGCAAATTTTTTTTTATTTTATGTTTCTAATTTTTTTTTATAATCTCTTTTATTATTATACAAATAATTGTTATCAATATTAACTTTGGTAGTCAACGGACATTGCATATTAATAGTAAGAACTGGCATTTATTTTATGGGGCATGCTGCAACAAAACCAGACAAAGTGAACCAAGGATTTCAGGGTTCAAAATTTAGTCATTATCATCACAATTGTAATGTGATTATAATTTAGCAGTTTTATAATGTCCCATTTGTTATCTTTCCTTTTTCTTAAATGATATATAGAATTACCTCTATATAAAAATAGTTAATATGAAACTCATTTACATCAGTCTACCATGGATCCCAAGAATTATAGTACCATTAGAAGTATTTTTAAAAAGGAACAAGGTGAAAAAATTGCTCTTTACATTTTCAAAATAAATGATACTCAGACACTAGAAGCTTATCTAAGAAAAGAAGGAATAAATTGTGAAATTTACCAAGAGGAAAGAAAAATAATAAACATCAAAAAAAGAAAACAAAATGAAAATGTGTTATTGTCCAACAAAAAGCAGAAATCCTTAGGAAAACAATCTCATTGTTATAGTATTGATTTGTTTTTTGTTTTTTATTCTTTTGACAACATAAAACGTAGTAATTATAAAAACTGTGTTTAAAGTTACACCTCCTATTCATAATAAAATAGATTTACCATCAAACTTTTCTTCTGTGTTCTTTGAAGTATTGTTTTTATATTCTGCTTTGATAAAATCTTCATCTTTTAAATCACTGACACTAGCCTTAAGATGGTAAAAGTTGGGACCTTGAATATGTCTGGTGGCTTTATAATCAGGAAGGACAAAAAAAATTTCTTTTTCTTGCTTTGCAAACTTTTCTTTGCATTCTGAAATAATTTCTGCAAAATCATCAATTAACATATCAAAATCAGGATGGTTAGTTTTTATTCAATTACATCATCTTGGAGTGTATTTAGTCTCATTTTTACTCTTTGTCTGCATGTAAATTTCACATTTTGTTTGAGGAAAATAGCCAAAGGTTTTTTTGAATTTTTCTTTCCCCCCCCCCATATGCATAAGGAAAATGGCTATTCTAAATGCACTTATAAGAACTAATTCTTCAATTAAACCTTCCTTTAAAGCAAGAAAAATTTCTTAGCTGGCGACAAGAAAGCAACTTCAAATCTTTGAGGAGAGCCACAAAACTTTCCTGAAGAAGGTTCTGTTAGTTTATATTTTTTGCTTTTTTCAAACTTTTCAACTGCTGCTTTTTCTTGTTCAGTTCTTCAAACCCAATTACTTTATAAGAAACACCATAGTCATTTGGCTCAACAATAATGTTTTCTCAGAATTTCTTAAACCATTCTGCAAAAGAAATATTAAAATTACCAATTTCATAAATGCCTGCTGATCTAGTTTTGATCACATTTAAATGTTTACTCGAAGACTGTTAAGCTTACCAAATTTGGTAATTTTGACATATCCCGAATAGGGATGGGCAAAATTGCATAATGCATAATGCGCATTATGCGCACTAAATTTTTTAAAATGCACATATGTAATGTTACACGAATTATTTTTTTAAAAAATTTATTTTATGCCTCCGCTTAGTAAAATTTGGTCTCATTTTATGAAGCTTGGCCATGAGGCCACTTATAAACAAGAAAGAGCTCAATGTAATTATTGTTCACATAAATTGCTTGCTGCTGCAAATCGTTGTGAACAACACCTTAAGAAATGTACCAAAGTTTCACATCATGTACTTAATGAATATTTTCAACAAAATCAAAATATAATTACGCAATCATCACAATCTGAGAATTCTACTTCCTCTACTTCCTCTACTTCCTCTACTTCCTCCTCCTCCTCTTCTTCTTTATCTCAAGCAACTCCTTTAGTTAACACTTCAATTATTAATTTTATTGATAGAATTTCTTCTGCAGAGCAACAAGAATTTGAAATTTTATTTGCAACTGCTATTTTTTCTTATGGACTTCATTTTTCATTTTCTGAATTAATTATTTTATTTTTATAAAGTAATTTTTTATTTAGGTTATATTTGTTATATTTACAAAGAATAAAATTTATACTTTTAAATAAATCATTTATAGAAAAAATCATCATGCGCATTATGCGCATCATGCAAATTAATGTTTAAAAAGTTGCATAATGCCCATATCTAATCCCGAATTTTTAATTTACCTGATAAAATAATATTAATATGTTAATGTTTAGAACTAAAAAAGTATCCGGTCTATTTATTACCAAAAAACACGCACAACAACACTGAATATATGTAACGCGCAAAATTTCATAATTATCAATATAAACTTTTTGAGAAAAGTAAGAATGTTCAGAATGTTATATATATAAGTTTTATTTTAACGCGAAAAACATTTTTGTCCAGAGTGTATGTATTTTATTTGAAATACAAGGGTCTTTATTACTGTTGTATGTGAAATTGGAGTGGGGTGAAATTCTGATTGGCTAATTTGAATTTCACATATGTGAATTGCGAATTCATTTTCACGTACAACATTGAAAAAAGATTTCTCTTTTTTTGTCATGAAAAATTTGCGTAATTAATAAAAATGAAATCAGATACTTCTTTCAGGAAACGTATATTCGTTGAAATTATCTTGCAATCGTTTTTTATTGGAGAAAATTTAGAGCTTTTTTTAGATTAATAACCACACAAAGTAAAATTTTTACAAACTTTGAAGAGTCTGGAACGCATATATCACGAGATATTGATTTTAAAAAAAGTAGAAATAAAAAAAATTTTATTGATGAATTATTATTTACTACAAATGATTTTTTTCAATCGGCATTCAAATTATACCGTTATTAACTATTAGTTTATAGCAATATCTATCTATCCTCGGGTGTTGAGGCTAGAGTCATAAACCTATTAGTTGATTTTTATCTTTCACATAATACATGTTATTTCCACATAACACAAGGATTCATTTTTTCAACTTTGGTTAGACTTAGTCAAAAGTGCCTAATAGTGAATTTGGCATAATAAATAGCTTTGCAACTTCCTAGTCAGCTTCCCGGCAATTATATAAATATTCATCTCTATAAATGGCTTAATGCATCCATAATTGAAGGGGCACGTACATGACGTAAAAAAAATAAAAATAATAGTTAACCTTATTAGAAACAGATAAAAAATATAAATATAATCAAGATAATATAAATAAATTCATGTGCGAATGCAAAAAACTTAAGCTAAAAATATATCATAATGAATAATTGGCAACATTTTATCAATAAAATATTTCTCGCTCTCACACTCACTCGTTCTCTAAGCCATCCATAAACCTGATTATACATGCATAATATATAATATAATGTATTATTTCTGCAAGAAAATCTCAAGGGTCATTGTTGTTTATTCAGTACCCTACCTAATTTATATTACATAACATTACATTACATAAGGTGATTGATTGATTATAATGGAACCAATTATCATACTTGATCCCAATCGCCTACACCACACTTTACATTTTAATCTAGTATCATTATTTATTATTTTTTTCACATAACTATATTTTTTTTTTGTTATCATGACTGATTTAGAAGTACAAAAAAACTTTTTTACTAGATTTCCACATACGGTTACAAGTTCACCAATTTCGTATTACCTGGTTCTGATTATTTTATGATGACACGTTAGAATTCCAAAAAAAAATTATCTAGTCGACGTTTTTACAAATACATGCCTAAAATTGTTTATTTAAAAATTTATTATAATACGATAATTAAAAGCTCAAAATAAATCTCGCGTGTATTTTATTTATACTGTAATGACTTGTAAATGATAAGTTAATTTTCTTTTTAAATTTTCGAGCAATGTTATTACTATTGCCGTGAAGTTTAAAAGATGATCTTTACCTTACTAGAGATTAGAAAAACAAGTTCTGATACAAGTATTTTGGTAATGATAAGAGAAACCACATAATAATAAATATAGTGATCCCGATTCGAAGAATACTTGTTATTTATTGTATTCACTTACATATATTTTCTTGTCACATTGTCACATTAACAATGAAAACAATTTTTTTGTTAAGATAAGGTTATATCAACGCCACGTGTATTTATTTTCCATGTGACAAAATGATAGTTTTTGACAGAATCTTTATTTTCTTAATATAAAATATCGTAAATCGTTCCCTATTTTAACTATTAAAAAAGAATATAAGATGTCTGTTTTTTATTGGGATTTGCGTATGGACCTGTAGCTCTCAAAAAATGCCATTGTCAAATGGGGTATCTGAAGAACAAAATGGTTGCCTAAGTCATGTGCAGCTATTAATAGAAAAGCTTTCCGATGGTGAATTTCAACAATTGTCAGAATACATTCTAAAAAAACGCCGGAAAAAAGATATAATTTCAGGAATACAACCAATGCTAGCACAACATTTACTTTCTTTGATCGATCCAAAAACTTTATGCCTAATAAGAAGAGGTATTTAGATATATATATATTAATATATTTAAATTTGTTTGATCCGATTTATTTACATAGAAAAATTCTAATTAATTTTTCTAAAATAGTTTCTAAAGCTTGGAAAGTTCGTGCTACAGACAATATTCTTTGGAAGAAGCATTGTACATCCGCCGATTTTCTTTCAGACATTCCTAAATCCTTTAAACATAACACTTTAGCTACTGATTACTATTTCCAGCTTTACAGACATAATGTTTTGGTTGAACAGAATTGGGAGAATTTTCATTTCACTCAAAATGTTTTCCAAGCTCATAAAGAAGGAATCACATGTATATCTGGTTCCGAAGATTTGTTTTATACCGGATCTTTTGATAAATCTATTAAAATCTGGCAACTACCTAGTAAAAAACCTTTATCTACTTTAGATTATCATTCCGAAGCTGTTCAATGTTTGGCTTTAGGTAAATCAATATTAGTATCTGGTAGCTGGGATAAAACAATAATTGTATACACTATTGATAATAATTATTCAATAAAATATAGATTGCATGGTCATCTGGCTGGTATAATTTCTTTGACCATGTTTCCAGATGAAACTTTATTATTTTCTGGTTCAGTAGACAAAATTATACGTATTTGGAATTTACAAAACGGTGAATGCTTGCACAGACTTGGTGGAATTGGAGGAACAGTAGGTACTTTATCACTGATTCCCAAAAATCCTTCTCCTTCTTCAAATAACATCATTGATCATAATGAAGAACATAGTCAATATTATTTAGTTTCTGGATCAAATGACAATTCAATTCTAGTTTGGGATCTCTGTTATGATGATGCTGACAATGGCAATGATACTCAAAAACAAAAATCATCATTGATCAAAAATATATCAATTAAAAAACCTCGAATAATTAAAAGATTAGAAGGTCATACCAGAGCTATCACTTGCTTGACATGGTATAAAGATACTTTGGAACAACAAATCGAATCATTTGATCAAGAAAATTCTTATTTAGAAGACAACCATCACAATAATTTAGTTCACATCAATACATCAAAATTTACAAGATCCAGGTCAGCATCACCAGGCGGTACCGATGTTTCTGAAGCTGGTGATTATATGGATCTAGATGATTTGAACTTGACCAATGATACTAATAATATTATTGATAGCAATGATAATGAACCTCAAATAGATAATGATAATTCAATAGAAGAAATAGGAACATCATCATCAAATATATTAAGAAATAATAATGTTAATAATGATCCAAATGTTATTGAAACAATTAGAATTATTTCATCATCTGCCGATTCTACTATTCATATATGGGATTTTAACACAGGTCAATTAATTGGCAGTGCAAAAGATCATGATGACATAGTATGGGATCTTCAATGTAATTCATCTAGACTCGTTTCTGTATCTTCAGATGGATTTATTAAAGTGCGATCATGGCAAAACCGCAATGATGATAATACTAACCCTTCATCATCATCATCAAACACAAATAATTCCAATCGAAAAAGAAATTGTATTTATAATTCACAAAAACAATATTTGATTGGACCATTTAATAATAATAATAGAATTAATAAGAATGTCTATAAGCATATCGTGTCAGATCATTTCACACAATCTTATGACCATGAGAAAATCCTTTTTGCTCCAGCTGCTGCGCTTGTTGAAGTTGATTGCGGTATCAAGTGCCTTTTAATGACTCGCGAATGGTTAATTTGTGGAACGGAAGATGGAATTTTAATTGCTTTAGAATTTCGTTGTTAATTTATAATCGATCGAATTGAATTCTTTGTTTTTTTTTTTTTTTTACGTATTTTATTTTATTTTATTTTTTTATCGGAAAAAAAAGCGTTTTTAGTTTAGTTCGAGTAATTTACACTAAAATTTGTTTGTTGTTGGTAAGATCATAAAAAAAATCTACAGAAAATAATTAAGCTACTATATGCTATACACATTTTTATACGATATATTAAGATTATTTTAAGATTATATAAATAAAAACACTGGGTAATTTACCAGGTATGTGTTAGTGGTCGTATTACTTGTAGACAAGAACGATGATTCCTGGACCATACCCACGGCTGTGGGGTATTGTCAGTAGGGACTTAATGGATCACAGTCTGGGCCGTAGAGCTTGGATCCGGATATGAATGTGAATATTAATATCCGAATACTTATCCGCGAAGAATCAAGTAAGGATTCATAATAATAATACTTATCAGGCAAACAGCACTATTAAGCTATTTTTGGTTGCTTTGTTGATATACTACAACATTTCTGTAAGATACAATTAAATCATATAATTAAACTTTAATAAACAGTGATGTTTGAAAGAATAGCTTAATAGTGATTGCCAGATAACATCGATATTGGGCGTGCGATGGACAATTTCAGTGACATGATATTGGCTGCTGTGTGCCCAATATCTTATTTGAAAAAAAAAAATTTCCAGGCAACGAGTATCACGTAAGCTCGTATTAATTGATCAATAGGGAGGGTTTTTTAATATATATTAGACTGTAATTTGGCACGTCGAATTTTTCATATTTCTTTCATTAATATTAATAATTTTATTAAAATATATGGCAGCATCTATTGATTTGTAAGCTAAAAAAAAAATTTTTTTATTTTTACAAGAATTTACCTGATGTGAAAGATCAATAACATTGACTCATATATATACTTTGTAATAATTTCTAGAATCCCTTTTTTAATCGAGTGTTTTGCCATAGTTTTAGTGGTTATTGCATTATTATTTTATTTTAATAGGTTATTTGCATTAATTGTAAGTCGCTTAATAAGAATTTATACATGGAGGAAATATAATGCTTACATCGAAATAGGTAGAGTACATTTTAATCAATTCAAGTAATAAATTCCATCCTTATAAACAAGAAGATTACTTATATAAGTTTGTTTATAGGTTCAATTAAGTTTGCACCACTTGCAGGACGAATTTTATTCAGAAATTTTAAATATTATTCCAAAAATCAATCATTTATAATAGTAAAGGGGCACATCACTTTTCAATATTGGCTATGGAATGTTCGTCAAGTGAACAACAATAATAATAACAATAATAACAATAATAACAATAATAACAATAACAATAATAACGACAATAATAACAATAATGGTACAAAATTCTTTGTATTTTGGAATAATTATTGTGATTTACTGATCTGATCCGATCTAAAAAATTTCTTCTTTTTTTATGTTTCTATAATCAAAAGAATTACCATGCAGAATTGTATGCCATTTTGATGGAATAGAATGGTTTGCATATAACAGGTCACCTGCTTATGATGTTCTTAATGACATTTTAACAACTTTAACAAATAATGGACCTAATTCAGATCAATCAAGTTATTCAAATTCACCAACTGATAGAGAGATTACTGGTGAATACTTTATATGTATATAATTTTATAAATCAATATTTAAGTTAATAACTTTGTGTAAATACACACTTATATATACTTTAGTGGATGATTGCAATGATCAAAATGAAAATGATTTTGGAAATTCATTTCTTTGCAAATTGTTACCAATTCAGATAGATTGTGAACGTGGTGCTTTTATAATTGGCAATCCAAAAACACCTTCTCTTCTGGTTGCTGATTTTTCACAATCAAGTGGTATATATGATGCTGTTAAAGTATATATTATCTATTATAGTATATGATTTATCATCAATTGAATTCATTGTATTTATTGTATTCATCATATAATATATATATATATAGTCAAGGTCAAAGTTTGATTATTATAAATCAATAATACATTTAAAGTTTGGAGAACCAAAAATACATTTGGAAACTAATTTAGATTATAAAGAAACAAATTTAGACACAGGTGCTCGTATGGAAGAAGAAAATATAATAAATGTGTGAGTATTTTATATATATACATCTTATTCATAAATATCATAAGAATACTAATGAAAATAAATTTTAAAGATCTTCTGACAGAGGAAGTGTTTGGTCACCTTTGAAAAATAAGGTCTTTAAACATTTGCCATTCTTAAAAGATTCTAGTTTAGAAGATATTACTGAATGGCATGGACTTCCTAGATATCCTTTATTATTATTGGCTTGTTCTTAAATTATTTTTTTTTGACAAAAGTTAATTCCTTAACAAATTTAATAAAAACACATATCGCACTGATAGTAATTCACCTGATGACACCATTAATGGGGAGTATGCAAAAGAACAAAACATCCTTGAATGTTTAGGACTAGAATTAAATTATTATGCTGATGTTGCTGGTGAACAATTTAATTCATATTTATATTTATATATATAATTGGTTGTAATTAAATTAATTATTTTTTTCAAATCACCAGGAAAAGTTCCTTCTAATCCAATACCAATAACAGATAATGAAGAAATGGATATAGGAAATGGAGATGTATCACCAGAATGGGGTGCTGAACTTGTTTTTTCAGGTGCACAATTAGCTTATGGTCCTTGGGCAGATCGTCAAAGGTAATAAATACAACATAATAATAGCACTAATAAAACTATTTATGTCGGATTTTGTTATTAAAAAATCAATATTTGCTTTATTTACAAATTGAAAAAAAAAAACAGAGCATTTCTTCAAAATTTTTTCTTTCCACCTTTATACCGTAATACTGAGCATACAAAAAGATTAAAATTTGGTGACACTAGATTACATACTTCATTAAAGATTCAAATTCAATTTGATTGCCCATTCACTTTTAAAGTTCCATTTAAAGAAAATTCAAAGGTTTATTATTTCTCTTATTTTGTATATTTATTTATTTTTGAATTATCAAATGATTATTAACATCGAGATCTTTTTTTCACTTTTCATCATTTATTAAAAACAAAGGATTGGAAGTATTCACAAAATAATATAATATTTCAAGGTTTTAATGGATCAAGACCATGTGGTTGGTTAGAATTTAAAGTTGATAAAAATGCAATAATTAATATAACATTGCCAATGGTGTATCCAAAGGAAGGGTATTCTAATAAGGTTAAAATATTGCTTGAGGAAATTAAAGTGAAAACAAGTGTTAATCGTCATTCACAATTGATCTATGCAAAACAATGCAAGGTATTATTTATTTAACGCATATACATATAATAATTTTTTATAAATTAATTGTAAAATTAATTAACTATAATTATAATTATAGTTAGAGTGCAATTTGCCAAGTCCTTTAGCTTGGAATGAAGCACGCATATGGTCATTTGATATTCATTTTTTGGATGCACAAATATTTCTATTGAGAGATTACATAACACTTATTCAAGATTTAATAAAGGATTGGACATCTGGTCCTTCACCTGATCAATTACATTTTATCCCAATGAAATATCAACTAAATCCTCATTTCACTAATTTTAGATTGTACCTTTATGTAAATGAGAATAATATTATAGATGATCCAGCTGATATTGATGATAATTGTATTATATCTAAAAAATATTATTTTAAATAATTGAATGATTTTAAAATAACTATTAATTATATTTTTTTTATTTACTAAAAAATTTGTTTACCAAAGCTTTTATAATTATAGAAGGATCACAATTAGCATCAAATGTAGTAATTCCTTTATTACGATATAATGAGTTAATTACAAAAATAATTTTTGGTTTAGAGGTTTGTTTTAATTAAAAAATGAAATATATTATATGCACACGTATTATTTTTTATATTATTCACTTATCCAATTATCTGATTATTAAAATCACAATCATTATCATCATTATTATAAGGTAACAAAGGCTACAACCACTACATCACCTAAAGTATCACAAACACTTGGTGCTTTTTTGTCAGAGGATGCTAAAAAATTTGGGCAAGTCAGATTCTTTACAGTTGAAGGTTCCTACCAATATTATAATACTGTAGATCCAAATCATGTTGAATCCTTATCATTAATGATGAAGGTATATTTATTATTTGTTATTTATTACTACCTGTAATTTGTTAATAATATTATAAATAACTATCATAATGGGCTTTTCAGGGAAATGACGTTAGCTTAAAACTATTTGGTTTTGTAATTCGATATTTTTTAATTCTTCAAGCAAATTATTTTGGAGCATTTATAAATTTCATGACATTAGATGAATATAATGACTCAAAAAAGCAAAAAAATCATTTAGAATATATAAAAGTAATATTATTCATATCCATGTTATTCATTCATATATTTGTTCATATATTTGTTCATATATTTACTTATTAAATTTTATATTTAAAGCCACTAGCAGACCCATTCGAAGTTTATATGGCCATTATTATTGAAAATGGTACTTTATATCTTCCAGAGAATTTATATGACGCTCAAAAGAAATCGGTAATACAATTTCATGAATTACAACTTGATTTAAGAAATTTAGATATTTATATGGGTCAGTGTACATGTTTATCAAAAAAACTTGGTCATTATTCTTTAATTTAATGTAATTGTTAATATATGTATATATATTTAGATATGGATATTACTGTTAGTCCATTAACATGGACTCTATGTCCTGAGAATGTTAATACTAAAACCAATTCAAGATCAAAACCACCAAAACCATTAAAAGAATCTGATAATTATTTATTTATAAATGGTATAATAATAATAATAATAATAACAATTTTTCTAATTATATTAAAATAATATTTATCATATATTTTTAATCTAGATTTAAACATATATGCTCATCGATTATTTGGACCGTTACCAGAAACAGCAACATATGTTTGTAACTGGGATATAAACATTGACACTATATCTGGACAATTAAAACCATCGTTTTTAATAAGTGCTGGCTCATTTGCAGAATCATTTGTTTATCATTATATTGATGATGAAAATGCGCTGCCTGCCGAGTTTGCGGCTCCTTTGTATCCAGATGTGGTTTTTGTAGATTTTATCGTAAAAGAAATTGATGTCTCCATTTGGTGTCGTGATAGTAGAACCCAAATACTTCTAGAGGAAGGTCTTAACGTTAAATTTGATGATTTGGCAAATGAAAAATTCCTTCAAAGAACTGTCGTTAACCTGCCAGATTTAGTAATTAGAAGTTTGGCAATGTCATCATCATCGTCTTCTTCATTAGCTGCTGCAGCTGCACATGATATTAACAAAGAAACGGAAACTCATCCTTGGGTAGAAGTTGCAAGTCTCGAGTGTGCTTTTGACGTGACTATATTTCGTACCACGTCCGGTTGGAAACAAAAACTTGAAAGTCAGCAGTCTTTCATCAAAGAGCAGGATAAAGAAACGCTTAGAGTACCATTTCTTTATGAAAACAGTCCTGATAATTATGAAGGTATTGATTATAATAATTGAAACTCTTTTTTTTTGTTTAATTGGAATTCCGATTCCAATCCTAATTCTGATATAAATTTCTAACCTTGAAATAGATCTATTGGAGAAAAATGGACGTCATTTTGGTTCTTTATATGTTCCACCTATGCCAAGTCCATTAACAGGTCTATAAAATTTTCTTTTTTTATTTGGTCTATATCATCACAATTATATTTATATGTGTATTTACAAATCATTTCTGATCTTATTAGATGAAAATGATATAGGTTCTTTGCTTTACAATGAAAGTACCAATTCATCAATGATAGATTTATCTGAAAATCAAAATAGAAATGATAAACTAGCTTCTTTTAAGAATTATGGTTTTTTAGGTCATGTAGGGGATGATGACGATGATTCAAATGATGGAATGGACAGTGATAGTTCATCAATAAATGATGACGATAGGTTTTTTTTTTTCTTTGTGAATTTATGTTTATATACATTGATTGATATAAGTTAACTTTTTTTTTCTTTTTTTCAAAGTATTTCTATGGTTGCAAGTTCATACAAAACAGCTTTTGATGGAATTTATGACAATGATGATGATGAAAACGATAGTGATAATTCTGATGGCACTTATATTGTTAATGCTGAAATCACTATTGGTGATGGTATTTTATCAATAATAATAAAATAAATAAATAAATATGTATTGAATTGAGTTGAATTGAATTGAATTTTTAACCCTATATGTTTACTCAAAATAACATATATATTATGTCTTTAAAGATAGTACAAGAAATAATGAAATTGAAGCACAAAATTCAGCAAGTGATCTAATCGATGATAAATCTACACCAATAAAACGATCTATTCCTTATGGTAATTATCTTAGGAGGTTTAGGTTAACCTCAAAACAACCTCCTCCTTCTTCACTCACCAGTTCATATTTAAGACCTTCCCAATTACTATTTATTCCAGCTAAGGTAACCTTATTTTTAACTTTATTATCATAACTTTATTTTATAAATTTTAAAATGAGAATCATTTTACTTTGTTCTAAGGAAACAGGGTTCATATCAAACGATGAAATTATTGATCACAATTTCAAAATTTCGTCATTTTCAAGAATTCTAAATGAAAATAACAATAAATATGATAAATTTTTTAATGATGATGATGATGAAATTTTAATAAATGAATCACAATCATCGCAATTACAACCCATGTCTCCTATTACCACAACCACCAACGCGCAAAAGGCAACAGAAGAAAAAACAACTATTGTTTTCGAAACTATAAAACCAATTAAAGTTCTTTTAACACCAATTTTTTTAAAAATTGTAGAGGAATTTTTGGAAGATGTTAAAGATCAGGTGGGTAATATTTTTTATTTTACTCCATATTTATTTTATATTCTTGTTTAACAAACAAAGTTATTTTGTATGCTTAATAGAATTGGGATATTGAAGCAATGCTTGATGTGATGCAGATGCATTATATTGGTGAACTTACTCGTCTATTTCCATTTAAATATAAGACAATTTCGTTCGCCATCTCAATTCCACAAGTTTATCTACAATTTATTCAAGATGTTCTTTTACCAGGCGATTTGACTAACGCTAACGATGAACATCCAGGAATTCGAACCAGATATGATATAAGTGACACGACCTTATGTGCAATGGCAGAAATTATTTTAGTTCAGACATTGTTAACTGGCTTGGTGAAGTTTGAAGACAAAAATTATAATAATATTAATATTAATAATGGTGGTAGTAATATTAATAGTAACAATACAAAGGGAAAACCAAAACAATCATTAGAAATTATAGAGTCGAGAGCCAATCTAGACTTTGATTCTTTGAAACTTAATGTGATATTTGTTGCTGAACCCAATCGTTTCCGGATATTTGGAATTCCTAATTCAATGTACCACTTCAAAAATACAAGTTTCTCACCAACAAGCTCTTTAGGCAATGAAACAGTTGTGTTGGATCTTGTGTTGGATCTTGTCTTGGAAAAATTAAAGATAAAATGGATAGGGTGTATGCAACCAAACTATTTTTCATCTGATCTTACGAAGTTAAGTGGCCTATGTATCAAACAATCTCCAGAAATTTTAATTGGTGCAATTTACTGGTGGTTAGTATTTGCAGAAGATTTGACCAATCTATTAGACAAGTTCAAATCGCACAGAACGAAAAAATTACAGTCTCTTATTTATGAGATTGCAAGATTTTCAGATTCTGCCAGTGTTGATAGTGATCCATTTTACCTGACATGTACATTAAGCACTTTTCGACTAGGAACAAATAATCTCAAGTGCGATGATGGATGGAAAATTTTAGGTCGTGTTAGACATTGTAAAAGAAATATGCCTGATAAGTTGGTAGATCAATTACAAAATAGGTTGAATTCTGGTAATGATAATAATTTTCAGTTCATGACGGATTCATTAGAGATGTTCAAATACGTTACAGGCATTTTTTCAAAATGTAAACATTGGAAAATTGAGAATTTATCTGAATGCCAATTATTTACCAATCTCTACAAAGTGATAGTAACTGAAAATTCTGATAATAATAATCTTATTAATCAAATCCAAAAATTTCTAACCAGTTCAACAAATCAAGCTAAATTAAGAATTGGCAATATTAAATTATCGATTCTGGAAGGTGAACTCGAGAATTATATTGATATTGGATCTATAATGTTTTATTTCCAAAGTTTATATCATAAAGATGTTACCACACCATCACCACAGCCTCTTTCTGCTGAAATGTTTGATCAAGAATCACCTCATAATTCAAATAATAATTTGTTGTCCACCAGTTACTTGTATATTTTCTTTAGATTCGAAGTGGATTGCATTCGTGTAGACGTGAATCCTGATATGCTTGCATTTGTAAAACATTGGCTAAAGGTACATAGAGTATTTGCCTCAAAGTTTGAGACTTTATCAAACAAGGGTAAACCGCCTAATTTTGAAAATAATGCAACAAAAACATCACCATCATCTATATCCAAATACAAATCTGCTACACCTGCTAATACTGTCAGCAGTAATAATTTACATGAGATTAAAATGGCAAAAGGAAAAGAAAATAAATCCAAAGATACACGTCCAGAAACATCATCTACATCGCTTGATTTTAAAAATTTGTTTACAATACTCAATTTATCTATGCACAATACTATCTCCTTTAAAACAATCACAATCACTGCCTCAGCACAAAAATTAATAGCTCAAACAAAATTATCAAATATTCATCTGTCAGCTTGGTTGAATAGTCCATCTCATGCACTTGACAAAATTGATGGAGAAATTGATTCGCTTAATAAAAGTACGTCACAGTCTGGTTCAAAAGGAAGTAATAGCCGTGTTTCAAATAGTTTGATTATTTCGGCCATTGGTGGTATTGGTAATATTTCCAATAACATCTTTGAAAAAAATTACTCAACCTCTACAGGCTACCACAATACGTTGCTGTCCATAGAACTTTCAGGTATTAGCATGAATGTTGTACTGAGCTTGGCAACCTTTGGACGACCAAAAAGTAAAATTGATCTTGAACCACGTAAAGTCTTGAATATTCTAATAACACTTCAAAATATTTCTTTTAAACTTCCACAAAGTCTTCTCAAACTTTATAATTTTGTTGAAGAATGGAGAACTGAAAATCTTCCAAGCTATGACTTTCTATATAAAGGAGTTTTGGGTGAATTGGATGAGCAAAAGAAAATGATTTCAAAACATCCCAAAAATCATGAAAACCATGAATCCCGTACTTTTGAAAAAAACATGCTTACAAAAAACATATTGGAAATTAAACTTCAAATCCTCTTAAAAAAATTTTCAATTCAAACTCATATGTTACCATCACTCAGATTTCAATACGATGCATCTGATTTATTACTTGTCTTGGAACAAAATAATTTTATTCATGGTGATAGTATAATCAATTATTCAGGACAATTATCAAACCAAGAGATTAGATTCATCACTAGGAATAAGAACAAAGGCAAATCAACATCTGAAAAACCCATTAATGAAGAAAGGGATGCCGATCATAAAAAAGCAGCATTTACTATACCGGAAATTAAAGCAATTGGTAAATTGAAAACTTGCGAACCTCAAAAATCAACAGCTCTCAATAAAAAAGTTGGTTCTACTACTGCAGTTGCTGGTATTACTTCTTCAATTGACAAGAAATATTCAAAATTAGAATCAGCCATCACTTTAGATTTAGTCAAATTGAGCCTGAATGTAAATATTATTGATAATTTGTTAACTGCTCATTCACTTCTTGGTAGTGAGTTGAATGATGTATTGGATGTGTTTTTATTTTCTTCTAAAAGACTTAAAGAGAAATCTTCGAAAGTTAGTAGTAATTTGTCAACAACAACAGAGTCATCGTCATCCACAATCAACATATCAAGTAATGAAAAAGATTCTTTACAATATAATTTCGAAATATCTTTACGAGGATTGAAAATATCAGCAGCAAGTCCTACAGCTGTTGTGTTTTTTGAAACAAATGTTCTAAACGGATCAATAAAAAATGTGCCTGTTGGAGATGGGTTAACAAAAGTGGAATGGAAATTTTCTGCTCAAAATTTTTCTCTGTCACTTAATCACAATTCTGGTGCAATTAGTAAAGTAATAGCAGATGATGATATTCGTAAATATAGGATTGCTTATATTTCAATTGATCTTACCTTACAAAACCATAAACAGAATGAACTAAATACAAAAAAGAATCATATATTTGCACCAGATGATTCGTCTGAAATCGTTGAATCATATTTTTTGAAGTTGTTGAAAGTACACGCAGTAATGCAACCAGTTGCTTTGGGTCGCCTTATTGATTTGTATTTGTATTACAGCGGCGAGTTGACACGAAGAAAAGAACTAAAAGAGTCAGATATAAATAAATTGGCGGAAAACACTCGTAAACTATTACAATCGCTCGAAGTTGAAATGCCAAAATATAAAGCAACTAGCAAATCTTTGTTAAATGAGAAAGTCTTATCACTTGAGGTCAATAAATTTGCAATTGCACTTCCGCTTGATCTGCACGAAGAGTTAATGGCAACAGCAGTTGAAAACTCTAGTGATGTTCCAACTAAATCACAAGTTCCAGCATTTCTTCTTACAGCAACATCAATGAAGTTTATTACAAGAAAATGGAAAACAAGTAATGCAACATTAAATGATCTTTGTATTCAATTTGTTTCAGAATTTGATCAAGGAAACGAAAACCTTTTCAATTCTCGTGCCAAAATGAACCGAATTTATATTCCCGAAATATCATGTGAAGTGCAAATGATTGGAAGCGTTGACAAGAAACAAATTGGTGTTGATTCACGTGTTGAAGGATTTGAAGTAGATGTTAGTGGCAACATTGTTAATTATGTCAACAAGTTGGGTGAAATCTATGCAGATAGTAAAGAAAGGTTAGAAACTTTTACTGCAGAAGCAAATTTAAATTTAGGGTCTCAATCTAAATCTGTCCAGGAGATAAAAAATGGAAATCCATCATCAATTAACAATAATTCAACAACACCAAATGTAATAAATTTAATATTGTATGCAAAGTTTATTGCTAAAAGTGGAATAATAAAACTATATCCAAAAAATTATGTCAAAAAAAATCATTCAAGAAATAATACATTTTCAAAGAAAGTCGCAAGATCATCACATGATTCACGTGGAAGTGCAGCTTCTCTTCCTCGATTAAATTTGGATGGGATTGGTGGTTATTCACAATCTAATTTAGATGATATTTCAAGAAAAGGTGAACAAGGTGTTGATACAATAATTATACCGGGGCTTAGTTTGAATACAATGTATCAGGCTATTATTGGTCAAATAGTTCAAAAGGCTAACGATTCACCAAAGAAAAGAATACATATAGAATTGGTAATACATCCGAGCGAAAATATATTATACCCATCACTAGTATTATTCTTCAAGGATATAATAGACGGTTTAAAAATTGGTGTACAACATTCTAGTGACAAAAAAGCAATTGCGATACAAGATAGCACCTTACCGATACAAGGCTTGAACATAACGTTTTATTTTAGACTTTCTCATACCACATTTAATCTTAGTTGCAAGCCTACTTCAAAAGTATTTTGTTTACTGAATTGGGAAGAAGGAACTTTTTTGATATCATCTAATACTGTTGAAGAAGGTCAAAGTATAACATGTATTGGTAAAATTAAGGGAGCCTCTGGAAATATTCGACACACCTTTTCACCTGAAGATTGTGTTAGAGCTGAAACGAAAGATATTTCATTTAGTGCAACTTTGATGAGTAGACGATCTGAAAATATTAATGATGATTTTATTTCGATTATTGTAGAATTTCCTAGAATTATGGCCGAGTTGAACATCAGACATCTTCAAGACTTAATGCTGCTCAAAACGATATGGTTAGATCAAACGACAAAGCTTTATGAAGGAAATTTTGCAAATTCAACAACTTCGACAACTATCAATAATGATTATGATTATAATAATAATAATAATAATAATAATAATAATGAAAAAGAATCATCATCATCATCATCAGGAAATTTACAATATTCTGAAAATATTGTTAAACCATATTCGGTCTATATACTTGTAACGTTAAAGCAATTAGATTTATCTAGCGATTTAGGTCAAGCAATTGGCAAAGTTGATTTTAATTCTAATAACATCCAAATGAGAACTAAAAATATACCAGGGAAATTAAAAAAATTCATGATATCAACAGATACTCTTGATATCAATTGTGAAGGTCGTCTTGTAGGTACTGTAAATATGAGTGGATTTAGTTTCCTAACACAATTAGGAATACCACCACAATCAATAGATGATGAACCTACCCCAGTTACAAATCTGTTTTTTAGAACTGAACGTCTTCAATCCTTGTTGGAATATGAGTATCAAAAAATACTAATATTAGAAATAGATCCTATACAATTTCAACTAACAGATAATTGGGATATCAAATCTTTTGAAACTGCGAATGTATTGATTCATGCAGATGTAAAGCTACAACAAATTCAAGCTATACTTGCAATAAAAACAGTGCCTATATTTCTTCGTATGGGCAATAGACTTTTAGCATTGGTTGAAGAAAAAAGATTGGCAGCTGCCAACGTAATATCTGATTTGGAACAAACCAAACATCTTAATCCCACAAATAATAATATTACACAAATAACAAGTGTTGCTACTCCAGAGAAATCAATTAATAAAGTAGCAACAAAAAATAAACAACAACAACAATTGACATTCAAAGATTTGTCCATTGGAGGATTATCGATTAAACCTACTGGAAAAATTTCAATTTTCATAGAAAAAGCTCATATAACAATATATCCGAATCATTTTCATGATTCTGGTTGTGTTCAAACAAGTTTTGATAAACTTTCAGTGGATATGAAAAGATCAATAGACAATGACGAAAGGATTAATAGATTCCTTGATATGAAAATTAATGGCATTGCTTTATTAAAAAGTACATGTAAAAAATTAAAAATTACAGATGAAAAAGAATTTTCATTTCAAAAATGGTTTGAGCATGTTGAAGCAGCATCCAACAAAAATATTTTTACTTTACCTAGTACACATCTAACAATGGATACTATACAAGGAATAGAAAGTAATGTTGTAGATCACAAATTTTCAGTAGATTTTAGTGGAAAGGTTAACGTTGCTTTAAATTTTGGACTAATTAGATATTTACAGGAATTGAAAGCACTATACAAAGAACAAATAAAGAAAAATCATGTTGGAGTTTATGATTTTCCTCGATCACCAATTATATCACCAGTAAATACATCATCATCAGACAACACCTTTACAAATATTGATCAACAACAACTATTAATGCCATCATCAACAACTAATGTTTCTTCATCTAGTAAAGATGATGATGATGATAATAATAATAACAGTTCTACTACTACAGTGAAATCAAATGAAAATAAGGATAAATCAGAGATTCAATTCAATCCTATAAAACCTGTAAAATTAGAGCCACAATTATTTATTTTAGGTGATGCAACGCCACCATTAGAATGGGTTGGTGTTCAACGAGCAAAAATTCCAGGTTTGGTTCATACCACTATAACAATGAATTTAGATGAGATCATAAATCAAATCACCAATGAATCTTTTAAAGCAGCACAAGCATTACTATAGTCTTCACTATATATATATATTTAATTATTTAGCTATTTAATGTATAAAATCTTTTTTCTATTTTTTAATTTTATATTATAAAAATAATATTAATGTTGAATGACATTGTTTATAACGAAATTTGAAATAAATATTTAATTTAATATGGAAATTTTGAAGAGAAAATTTATATGAAAACTAAGGTTGTTTTTCAAAGAAACAGTTATATAAAAAAGTTTGTTTTTGAAAAAGAATTTAGTTGAGGTTAATTTTTTAATTTTGACATGCCAATTTAATTTAGTGATAATGTGTTGCGTGTGCGTTATGATTACTCTCCTATGGGATGTTCTTGTAAGGTAAGAGAATATTCCTTCCAACAATGGAAGCTTAGCATAATGAACAACTAATTCATTGGTTGGTTAGATCTTTGACATGCTTGCCCAAATTAGATGGATGACTGATTTATTGTAATCAAGGCTTTCTAAAATTGGCTTTCAATGATATGATTACTAGTTTCTCCAACCACAGATAAAGTTTGAAAAAGTTAGTTGTTGCCCATTTCGTAAGTTTGTACTTCACCATTAAGTTTTATGTAGGTAGTGAATGTACCTTGTCTTCTAGTATTAATATCGTGGGTTTTGGGCAGTACATAACACACTATATGCGGCTTCTGCTGAGGTTATATGGGACATCATCTGAGAAAATCAGTGAATTTTTTTTTTTGTCATTTTTGAGAAAATAATGCAGTTACATGTAATTTGAGTCGAGGAATCTATTCAGCTTAGAAATA